GGCGTGGTGTAGGGAAACTGGAATGACAAAGAAGGGGGGCAAAGAGATAAAGACAAACAAAAGAGGAAGCAACACTGAGAGAGACAGACAAGAGAGAAAATAAAGCAAGAAGAGCAGAAAGGCAAAAGTAGCAAACAACTAAGGAGGCTAACTAGTACCTCTAAATCTCTGTCCAATGGGGATTCCCAAGGAAAGAGCGCCTACTGGGGAAATTACCAAATCAGGAATCACAGAGACGCTGATACACTCCGGGCATACAACTTGTGGTAATAAGGAGAACCAGTTAAACGATAACCAACCGAACAAATCCAACTACTGTATAAACAGAACATAGGCATAGGGGTGCAAAGACTGCTGTAGTTGGGGAGATCTTCCAGACCACTCACCCCACGCCCAAGGATGACATACGAACATCCAGCAGAATAGGTTACGGTAAGGCATTATAGCCCGATCCCGGTTCAGTGATATAAGCCCATTGCATGAAAGGCGAGCCAATGGTCCCGAAGATCTCCAGCGGTAAGCACCCCCGTCCTGAAACAACATGTCAAATTTAAAGCATGAAAACATATTATAGTGCAATCACAGAAAACCTGCCTGCTGAGGTCCCCAGGGCCTCCAGTGTCCCAACCAGAGATGAGCCAATGGAGCTAGCCCTGTTGAACTGTATATCTGACGCTCCGCAGGAGGGTAAAGCGGTAGCAAGACCTGAGAGAGTACGGTGAGATGAAAAAGAAGACAGAGAAAGAAAAAGACATGAAAGAACTATGTAAACAGCATGTCAGCAAAATAAAGTAAAGCCCATTTCGCTTAGGGAGACCCTCCGGACCACTCGCACTGGGTGCCGTGCAGAACCACTGCTCCGTACAAATCAGACGGAGCCGCGAGGGTGGGTCAGCATACATGATCCCCAGCCCATTGACCAAAGCTCCTCAGAGGAAGGCCGGGCAAGTGGTCCCAAAGGATTCCCGTTGGCAATTAACTCTGTATCTGAAAGACCTGGTGAAGCAACGATCCTTCCTTCCCCTCTAGTTAACCCCTCATGTACTGGATGGTTGCAATATCCTTTCACCGGGATGTCCCCAGATGGTAGGTGGAATTTTTAACGAAGAAAAAGGGGGAACACTCCAAGAGCTTCAATCTTACTTTCCAGATCTTTAGGTGATCCGTTTAATTTCTTAAGATCCAGCTGAGTCACTCGGAGATCAAGCAGCGGCACTTTTCGTTGAATGATGCCACCCTGGAATTCAGTTACCAAATACACAAACTTCTCCAATTCGTCTCCATTGGTCAAATCTTCCAGTTTAAACTCTAGTGCAGCAACCTGGGAGGTCTGTGTTTCACAGTCTCTCTCTTTGAGACTGTGGTCTTTAGGTCTGGGGCGGCTGTAGATTCCGGGATACCTTTTTAATGCAGATGTTATTCCTCTTGCCCGGTTATCCTGATCATCCACGTCAACCATCATGGCAGCCAACTGTCAGGAGGAAGAGGTATGTGCCGCCTCCAATTATGTGATTCTGCGGACAAGGTTCTCCAGAGTGTGTTCAATAGCGGTAACTTTAGATGTAGCAGAGGAGATCTCTTCCATAAAGAAGAACTATGAGGTGAGTGAAAATCACTCTGCCTCATAGTTCGAGCCGATGTGTGACTGTATACTGAGCTTTGGGTCACAGGAGGACGCTAGTTTGTGTCCTCCCGTGACCCTTAGGAGAACTATGTGGGAAAAACACTTACCCCATAGTTCTCCTTTTAACATCTGCTTGTTTATACGTAGACTCAACTCGTATAGTAAATGCCTCAAAATCCGCTTTGGTGGGAACCAGGGCCACCAGGTCAGCCTTTGTGGGCAGAGAGCTTAAGAATTCCATGAATCCAGCATTGTGGAAGGGAGCAGAGTGAGGGTGGCCCCAAACTGATTCTTCTCCCATAGGTAGCAATAGAGGCTCTGACTTCCATGAGTGAGAAGATTCTCAGGCAACCCTACACACAGAGGGTAAAAACCAGGCGTCCTCTGAAGCACAGGGCAGATGTGCGGACCGTGAGGGGGGGAAGGAAAATCGAGAGTGCAGCGGCTCGCTGCGTGATTCAGCCCCTTCCTGTCCCTGTCAGTGGGAGAGCTCCCGAACAGGGCGCGGGCCTCAGTGGGGAGAGGGAAGCCTTGTGGTGGCGCGGCCACGCTGTCGGGCGTTGTGCCCGGAGATGCCGCTTGCAGAGGACCTTGTGAAGGGGGCCCAGCCGGGGAGACCCACGGATGTGCGTCTATGAAGGCTGCAGTGACTCACCCGGCACCAGGGGATCCATCCGCCGCCTGACCGGAGATGGTGAGTCACTCTCCATCAGCAGCAGTGCAGGAGAGTCCGGTGCCGCGACATGTGGCGGTCCTGGTGCCACAAACAGGCGCTTGAAAGCCGTCTTCGGGGTGGGCTGCGAACCCTGTTGCCTGCCCCTTTTGGACATGGGTGGCTGGTGAGGGATGGAGTACAGTTCAGCTGCGGTTTGCGATCAGTCGGGCCCGGAGCAAAAGCAGCACGCTCCTCACTCCTCCATTACTTGGCCACGCCCCCCGATACACCACTTTTTATAGCTAATGTTGCAAGTCTGAATTCTCACTAGGCAATAATATACATTTTAATGTGTTATTACAGCACATGAAAACATTCATATCATGAGTTTTTATGTGTTCACATTTACTTCAGTTAAGTCCTCTACTTGTGGCAGTAGTTCAGAAATTCTCTATTTAGATATCTGTACAAGCTTCTTTGGAAATGATGGAATAATGATGCAATAAGTATGTAATGCAACACACATATTATATCACACGTGTGTGACCAGGACCTAAATCTCTTTGGAGTATCTGGGGAATCTTAGTTCATTTTGTGGTGAAGTGGCTTGCTGAATGAAGTCTGTCCAACATTCAGCAGTTTTATGGGTTTAAGAAATAGTATTTGAATTTGTGACTGTCTTTTTTTACATTTGTGATATAATAGGTTTTGCCTGTCGGGTTGTTTCGGCATGCTATTGTTCAAAGAGGTGGATAACCTGATGCATTTCCTATTTTTCAGACTCTACAGTTACGAATTGGTGCTTGCAGTGCAATCTATCCTGCTACAGCACAGATTTTGTGGCACAGGACACGTAACAACAGACATCAGGTAAGTGTAACAGTGAATTTTGAGATATGAAAAACTTAGAAATGTGCTATTTCTCCCAGTGTACACTTAAAAGTGTATCAACAGCCAAAACTAGTTTTGTACAGAGTTGGGAATTGTTAGAACCTGTGTCTTTTTTTTTTTTTTTTCTGTTCATGTACCATTGTGGAGATTTTCCCTTCCATTCCTATACCAAAGGCACAAAAAAAGAGGAATGCTCTCAAATTGTCACCAGCACAGGTGTCCCCACTGGAAATGCCATTCTGTTGCCGTTCCAGTGACACCTGTAAAATCTTGGATTTCCTATTTTCTGTCTTGTGACAGTGGTCACCAGGACATATAAAGAGGGTGAATCTCGCCAGTTGGCGGAAAAACAGATAACAATAACAAAACTGACAGAATTTATAAACCTTCCTTAATCTCCAAAACGGAAAAAAAAAAAAAAGTTTATTTTATTGATTTAAGGAACACAGGATTCAGTTATTCAGAGACATTTGGGTTATTGGACCACCTACAGGAGGAATTGGACAAAAAAGCCATTGGCCAGCAAGATTAATCTCCTCCCTCTTTTTGGAGATTATAGTTTTACTTTTATTTAGACTTCAGCTACATGGTGTTGAGCAGGTCTTTATACACTAACCAGATTGGCATATCCTCAACAATAGCTTTGGAAGCTATATCTGGACCTTGCTGGATCGCAGATTGCAGGGCCTGCCTAGAATGTGACCTTTTGGGTCCTGGGCTCTGCATGTGACGCTTACAAAACCCCTTTAAATGAAGTGCTGCATCTCTAGCTGCAGTCTCACGAGTGTGCACTCCACACTCTGTTCCTGCAAAAGGCACAAGGTTTCACCTCCAGTCAGTTCTTGCTTCTGCCTATATTGACCTGGTCACCTCTGGCCATTTGAACATCTCCACTTCTTTCTGTAGCTAGTTTGTGAGTACCCACTTGGTGTTCTCAATTACATTGTCTGTCTCTGTTAAGCAGTGCAACAGGCCCAATAAGAGAAGTCCTGCTGCATCTGGTGTCTCCAGCTCACAATCCACTAACGGTTACGGGGACCTGACATCGACAGCCTGGGTTTTTGTCTTCTGTGTCCTCACACTCAGTCACCCACCTTACTCACCATACCAGCTAAGGATGCTCCAGTGTTTAAGGTTCCCATTCATTCCAAATCATTTAAGGTTCCCATTCATCCCAGATCATTGTTTTTGCTTGCAGACCCTACAACCTGCCGTTGCAAACTGCCCTAGCTGTAATGCTAGTCTGATAAACCTTACCAGAATTAACTAAACTTAGGTTGAAGGAGCCAGCTACTATCTTCACTGACCCTTTGTTTGTAGAGTGCTTAAAGCTTATGCCTTCTGCTCTACACTATTGCGTAGATTCAACTTTTACTGAATAAGTCTCCTGTCTGAATATTCCGATAACTCTTTGTCTGTAATGTTTGTCTGTGGAACAGCAGTGTAAAAAAGGCTTGCAAGAAAGGCTTGCTGTACATATCTTTTTTTTTTTTTTTTTAATTTACCGTATTTTTCGCTCCATAAGACGCACTTTTTTCCCCCCAAAAGGAGGGGGAAAATGTGCCTGCGTCTTAAGAAGCGAATCCCGACGCCAGAGACATGCAGTTTCGGGCGCCGGGCGAGTAGTAGGAGCCACTGCTCATTTAATACGAGTGATCTAATGAGATCAGTCGTATTAAAGCCGAGCAGCGGAGGCGGCGGTCGAGTTCAGCAGAAGGAGCAACTGCTCGTTCAATACGAGTGATCTAATGAGATCACTCGTATTAAAACCGAGCAGCGGCGACGATCGAGATCACCATAGAGTAGACGAAGAACGGACGTTCTTCGTCTGCTCTGTGTGATCACTGAGACCGTGGCGCTGTAATCACAGCGCCACCTGTCTCAGCGGTCACTAACTGCAGCTTCTGTCATAGAAGCTGTGACAGAAGCTACAGTCTGTCGAGTGCTTCATAAGGCGCGCCGGACCTCCCTGCGTCCTATGGTCCGGTGCGTCCTTATGGACCGCAAAATACGGTATATCTTTTTTTTAAATTATTTTAAAGAGTTAAAATATGACATTTTAAATACATTTATATTACTTTGCATGTAATCACACAGGATAAATACATACATCATTGCAGATACATTATATTATGATTCTCGATAACAATGTCAATTCCAAAAACCAAAGTTATTTGAGTACTATACTCTAAATATAAATAAACCCCCCCCCCCAACACTTATTTTTAATAAATATACACTGAGTGGCCAGATTATTATGACCACCTGACATTTGTAGGCAAATTAGCTATAATTTCGCGATGAAGTTGCTAGAGGGCCAGACCATTATAAATGGGGAAGCAGATTGTTTACCACGACAGTAGAAGTGATTTTTTTTTTCTGTTTACTTTTTTTCTGAAGTAAACAACGAGATTTAACAGGCTTTGAACGTGGGATGATCGTTGGCGCTCGGAGCCATGGTGCGATTTATCAGCAAAACAGCAGAATTTGTTAAATGTTTAAGAGGGGCTCATTGTTAAAGTGTTTAAAGACTGGACTGTCAGCCGAAAATCTGGGTCTGAACGTGCGAATTGTGGCCGTCAGCGACTAGTCAATGTTAGGGCAGAACGGAGAGTGGCAAGACTGGTACAAGACAACAGAAGGGCAACAGTGCACCAAATTACTGCAGATCTTGATCAGGGATCCTCTCAAATGATCTCTGAACGCACTGTTCACCGTACACTGCATCGTATGGGATATGGAAGCCGAAGGCCTGTTCGAACACCTTTGCTGTCTGCAGTTAACAAGATAAAACATCTCCAGTTCGCACAGGAACACAAGGATTGGACAGTCAAGCATTGAAAAAAATAATGTGGTCCGATGAATCACGTTTCCAGTTGCATCATGCAGATGGCAGAGTGAAAATTTGGCGGAAACAGCATGAAAGCATGCACCCCACATGCACGAGTACAACCCTTCAAGCTGGTGGGGGCAGTGTTATGGTTTGGGGTATGTTTTCCTGGCATGATTTGGGCCCTTTACTTCGTGTGGAACAACGTCTGAATAGCACAACATACCAAAGTATCGTTGCTGATCAAGTTCATCCTATCATGTTGATGGCATATCCCAATGGAGATGGCTTCTTCCAACAAGACAATGCGCCATGCCACAGTGCTCGTATTGTGCAGGTTTCAAGAACATGAGGAAGTCTTTACCTTGCTTAGGTGGCCCCCACAATCGCCCGATCTGAATCCAATTGAGCATTTGTGGGATGAAGTTGAAAGAGCCATCAGGCAGCTGGTTCCACAACCATCAAATAACCAAATACATTAATAAATAAACATATAAGTATATAAATATATATGGGCAATCGTACTACCATTATCTTAACATGATACTAAGGACATAAAATATCTGTACATTCTCTTCTAAAAGAATCATAAACTGTAATTCAATCACTACTAAGTTCAAATAAGTTCAAATTCAGCAAGAATGAAGATTGGAAATCTCGGTATTGTTTGCTTAAACAAAACTCATGGCTTCCATTTAAATTCATTTTCTCCTGTTGATCATATTTAATCGCTGTCAAATCTTCCATTAATTTATAGTATTCTATTTTATGAAACCATTCTATAATAGTTGGCACCATAATGTTGTTCCAGTACAAGGGAATTAAAGCCTTAGCTGCATTGAAGTGTAGGGACTAATTTCTTCTATAGTTCGGCAGAGGTATATCTGTTACATGAAGAAGGCACGCCGATGGGTTATTAGATAAAGTTATATTGGTAATTTGCTTAATATAATTAACCACTTGAGTCCAAAACAATTTAAGGTTGGGACAAAGCCACCATATATGTAAGTAAGTGCCAACTGCTCCACATCCCCGCCAACATTCTGCCGATTTTAGATGGATGAATCTTATGTATTCGATCCGGCGTATAGTACCATCTTGCCAAGAAACGAAATGTCTTATCTGTTACTAACGTACTAATTGATATTAAATGAGCTCGGAGAATTTGTTGTTTACGGGAATCAGTACATTTAATTTGAAGTTCCCGTTCCCACATCATCATATAGTGTGGCAATAATTGGGAGCGAGAATTAAGGATAAACAAGTAAACTCATGAAATACCATGTCTCGGGGAATCTGATAGAAAAAACAAAGTCTCCATTGGTAAAAGTTCTTTAACGGAGCGTATTAGCTTTGGAAGCTTAGACACAAAATTATGTCATTGTCTATATCTCTATGTATCAAAAGGGGACATCCCCCATTGATCTCAGAGACGTTGTAATGAATTAATATGTATCCCATCATGGACCTGAAAAAGTCTCAATGTGTGTTGTGTAGTCCAATGCAGAAATCCACTATTATGTAATCCCGGTAGAAAAAAAAGAATGACCAGTTAGGGGCATCAATGGAGAATTATATTTACCTATCAAGCCTGTATAAAGCTTATCCCATATGTCAAGGGTGTGATTAGTCAAAGGAGAAGTGCAACATTGCAAGTAACAAGTATTTTGTGGTATCCAACATGTGCTCGATAGACATTGTCCCGATAATAGATTGTCAAGTGTTATCCATAATTTTGGTTTTAAAGTGATAGTGCCAATCTAAAATTCTATTAAGTGCAACGGCTTGATAGTATATTGTGAAATCTGGTAGAGCTAGTCCACCTGCATTTTTAACCATCGATAAAGTTCTATGTGAAGTTCTGGCTGAGGATCGTTTTCATATAAATCGACCAACAACCGACTTTAAAGTGTTTTAAGTAAGAAGTGGGTAAGTGTATTGGTTACAGTCTGAAATAAATACAACATTCTCGGTAATATATTAATTTTTATGGCATTTAATCCAGCCAGTGAGTGAGATGTAAGGGCGGTGATGAAGCCAATTAATTGTGTCTTGTCTAATAGTGTTAAGTGCAGGTAAATAATTAATAGTGCAACGTTTTGAAATACAAGGGGTAAATAAATACCTAAACACTTCATCTTGTGTGATT